TAAATTGTAGATTTTCAGGCAGATACTATTTTGCTTGTTAACAGCCAACACCTGATTCTGATTTGGCTTATATCCAAGACTAAATCCATCTAGGACTGACAGGGCTGCGGGAATGGAGCACGACAGGTCGGACACAAAAGGACACCAGAATGTTAGAAAACCCTGCTGTGCAACCCTAAAATAAGAGATATAAGTACACACAGAATACACAGAGTACTTCAGCTCCACACTATGTCTTGTTTTAAACCCAGTTTGGTCAACGGAAATATCAGAATCAGGATTACATTTCAGCAGGAAATCACAGCTGCTGTGATTGGTCTGTTCAGCACTCTCGATTCCTCCTGTGCATTTCTAGATACTTTTTAATCGCATTTTTAAATTTATCAGCGAGAGAATACTTACATTTTAAGGAATAATAATCACAGCATTACCTTAATGACTTACACGTCAGCAGATTCCTGGAGGGCCATTTCTTAAGCTATGAGAATGGATGTGAACACAGCAAGGGCGTAGATTTGGCATAGACGGAAGGGACATGTCCCCACCAATATCCAGCGATTATTGAATTTTCCCCACCAATAATTTGATCTCTTCGAGTAAAGAAAAAAAAACCCCGCTAGAAAGAAAAAGCGATCTGTCACCGTCTCATTCAACCAGCGGTGCAGAAAGAGTTAAATTACGTTCTCTACTGGAGTCCTACATAATGTAACAAATATGGCCAATGTGATTGGCTGTGCCTTTCAGGGAGCTCTGTTTAGTTTTAGCAGCGGCAAGCCTGCGCTGCGAGGAGGAGAGGAGGACGGCAGCAAAAAGGAAGAACCTGGATATAAGAAAGTATTTTTCAAAGAAACCTGTAAGTCGCCTAAAGTCAAGCTCACTCATAAAATGTGTCCGTCATAATAACGTTACAGGCTATGCTAGGTTTTGGCCCACATCATTTTAAAATTGTATATAACCATGAATAACGTGTTTTGGAAACTAACTGCACAACAGGCAGCACTATTAGTTCTCTCAGTCTCCCAGAGTAACATTTCTAATTTTGATTGAAACTGTCAGAGAAAACGGCAGCCTCGGGCAAGCCAGGATATTAGTTCACAGAGGCTGTTAAAGTTATACATCTAATGTTAAAATTTCATCCTAATGGTACTGACATATTCATAGGGTTAATTTTTGAGACAATATATCATGAGGTAGTCATGATTTTGCAAATATTCCACCTTGTAGTGCAGTTTGCACAAATTGTTTTAAAAATTCACTCACCTTACAAACATGACTGATGAGTGACTCATCAGTCATGTTTGTATAGTGTGCCTAAAATGTTGCATAATTTTGCTGAGAGGTCTGTTACTTCGTGGTAATCTTAGATGAGTAGTTTTATGGACAAAACCCACCAGGTCATTCAGTGTTCCCTTAGTGCTAATGTATATAAGAGATGTTGGTGTACTATAACTGAAGTAATGTTGTTAAGTCCTTACAGCCATATTCTTTTATTGTCATGACTGTATTTGAAGCTATTTTTATTTTTGTATGATACCTGATTTATATGGAATATGGCTGAAGTAAACTAAAGTATAAAATACATTTGTTTAATAGTAATTTAACATTATATAATTCACACATTAAACTATGAATTAAATGGTTTAAAAGCATGTAGAACAGCATATGTAGGCAAGTATATTTCTCCCTCTTTTTTTTATTATCAAGAAGCCAAGACAAAAAGGAAAAACAAAGAAACAGGGCAGGGTTCGGTGGTTGAATCATCCGTCCCCACCAATGCCAAAACCAAATCTACACCCTTGGAACACAGAAATAAGTGGAAAATCTGGAGGGACAAAAAACAGTGACAACTGAAAACAGAATAGCGGGAGTACCCAGTAGGGGAAGAGCTTCTAACTCACTGTTGCTGAAGCAGGACATGCATTTTTTGTTGATAACACTAAAATGTCAGTTTAAAAACAGAAGGATAAACATTAACAGCAACTCAGACTCTAATTTGAAGTCAACATTTAGCGAGCGAAAGACCTTTGGTCTTTATTAACAGCAGTGAGATACAGGCCAACTCAGGTTTGGGGGCTGTTCAGAGTATTAAGGCCTAATAATCTTATTTAGCAGCAAAATGTGAGATCAAATTCAGCTAGAGGCCTCTGGGCTTTCACCGCTGCTTTCCGTCATTAACAGTTAAGGACGGTAATATTACAATGACATTACTTTGTTACGTGCATAAACTTATCCATGTTACCAGCGGTTTAATTAGGAGAAAATCTAAACAAGCACCATGTGTCGAAAGAACAACGGACAATAAAGTTAAGAGGTGAAATTTGTGTCTTCAAACTGGTTAAATCTGGTTTCTGCTCACAGACTGACGAAAAAGAAAAAAGTTAGCTTACCTTACAGGTGAAAAATATCAGCGAGAGCGGTTATGCTAACACTGCCAGAACCCCCACAGACAATAAAAACTTTATAAATAACAAGGTTCCTACTTTTTTCCCTTTCTCGCCGGGTTTAGTGGACCGCAGTCCCGCATGCTTCTCCAGCGCCCTTCTCTGTCCGGTCGGGAGCTTTGATGCACAGGCGTGTCCGCTAACAGCTCTGCCAGTGAGAAAAGTTGCTGTCAGGTATGTGTCAGGTGAAAATGTTCCACCCTAGCTGCTGTTTGTTCCTCTTCAAATGCAAAGCCTTTGAGAAAAACAGCGAAACAGAGTGGCTGGAAACGTCTGTTAGTTCGGAGCAATAAATCTAAGGTGCATGCTCCAATCACGCATTAAATCAGCCAATCGCCGAGCTACAAAACTCGTGATTGGCTGATTGTTTGTTTTTTGTTTATTTTTTTCCCCCTCTAGCTTTATTTCAACTGGAACAATAACAGCAAATATTATACATGGAGGAGACGTTGTACAATTGTAGTGCAAAATTATAATAAAGTGGAAGAGTATGTATAACTAAACAAATAAGAGACAATGATTAACAGGGAGAAAAACAGAAAATTACGTTTTTGTTGTTTTGTTTTGTTTTTAAAAAAAAACAAAGCAAAACACACAGTAACATTTTAATAATCAAATAATAGTGATTTTTTTTTTAAAGCTTTCTTCTTGTGATAAGATAAGACAAGATAAAATAAGATAAGATAACCTTTATTAGTCCCACGTGTGGGAAATTTGTTTTATTACAGCAGTGGACAGTGCAAAGTTGCATAGAGAAATTAGAGAAATTGGAACTGGAATAATATATCTATGAGATACTGTACACAATAGAATAGAATAAAATAAAATAAAAATAAAATACTATATACAATCGAATAAAATAGAATACAAATGCTATATACAATTAATAAATTGATCATTTGAAGTCTTTGTTGTAGAGTCTAACAGCAGTGGGGAGGAAAGACCTGCGAAATCGCTCCATCCCACATCGTGGGTGCCGCAGCCACTGAAGGACCTGCTCAGTGCTTTTAGAGTCTCCTGCATGGGGTCGGAGATGTTGTCCGACAGCTTAGCCACCATTCTGCTGTCATTCACCTCCTCCACTGGGTCCAGAGGGCATCCTAGAGCAGAGCTGGCCTATTCAGTCTCTTCCTGTCCCCCGGTAGAGAGTGTCCCGATTCGTGATTGAGGTGTGAGACAAACGACCACTGGTCCAAGTGTGTCAAACAATGATTTTATTAAACACATGTATGGTCCCGTCAAAACATACTTTCAGAATAGTTTTATTATGTCAGGGTTCATGCCTCTTCTCGCGTCAGAAAGAATATCACATGCATAGGTTATAATTAATGACAGTTAAACAAGTTTCCGTGTTCAACAGCATTTTGCCCTATATGGTTGTCTGGCTTCTCCAGATGTTTCCTGTAGACTTATTCATGGCATGCTTATCTTTAACACCTTCTGCGTCACTCGTTGCTAAGCAGAGACAAGCAGAGCAAGATGCGCTTCACCTTTACCCTAGAAATTGTACTTAATGTCTGTGTGTATGTAAGCATGTTGTGCATTCATTCACAGCACTCCAAGTCATTCCTACAATATATCAGTTCAGACATCACGCTGAACGAAGCTTGAGATGACCTTCACAGGACCTGCACTCCTTGTCACCAGCCACAATAAAGGCTCGCTTTCAGTTAAGTTTACTCCAGTCTACTCTCGTGTGTTCGCACCTGGGTCCACCACACACACCACCGCACGGTCTGCCTCCTCAGATCGTGACAGTACGACGCGACCATGCCGGACCCAGCGACACAAAAGACGGAGATCGTCCGGACAGTGGAGTCACTATGCAACAAACGGCTTGTCACGGTCCTGGGTTGTGCGACCCAGTGTTTTGTGTTTAACCTATTTTGATGATTATCGTTTATTGTTTGTTTAGGTTCACTAGGTAGTCCAGCCAGTTGTATTTATTACCCTTGTATTAAGTCTCCCTTGCCCTTCGTGTGTTTATGTCTGTGTGTCTTGTATTGTCAAGTTCATGCTGTCAGTTATGTCATCTCCCCTGTACTACGTCTCCCCGGTCCATGTGTCATGCCTAATCTCCATGTTTCCTGTTTTACTTTGAAAGCCTGTATTCACTATCAGTGTATTTAGTTTCACTCCTCCTGCCCTGTCGTTAGGTTCATGTGTGTCAGCTGTGTTCCCATGTGTGGCCACTTCCCCTGATCATCCCTCATGTGTATTTAGTCTCTGTGTTTCATACAGTCTGTGTCGCGTCGTCTGTGTTCCCACCCTCCGTGTTTCCATGCCCGGTCTGTTGTCTTCCAAGACATAGCCTCACCATAGTTTGTTCCCAGTTTAGGTTCCTGTTTAGCCACGCTATCCCTGCTGTGTTTGTACACCTTGTTTTCAGCCATATTAAAGGCTCGCCTTCTGTTAAGCTCACTCCCGTCTGCTCACTTGTGTACGCACCTGGGTCCATTACACACACCACCGCACGGCCTGTCTCTGCAGATCGTGACACGGCTGCACTGTTCCAGAGAGGAGGAAAGGGAGGAGATAGCCCGCCAAGTAGGGGTGTGCATGTCCGTGTTCCCCTGGTTATGGGAGACGCTGCACCCCCTCATCAGTGACTTTCTCGTCTCCACTCTCCGACTCCGCCCGCAGCAGCAGCTGCCCGGTGTGCGTGAATCGTCGCCAGAGCCATGCTGTTGCATTGTTACCCCGCTGCCTCGCGAGCCAGAAGCAGTCAGAGTCGGAACAGTGAGGCTCACCGCCGACACACCGTCGGTTCACGCTTTGTCGGCTTCCGCATCTTCGCCACCCCCTGACTGCACTACGCGGCGCACGGAGATGCCAGAGGCTATTGACTTTGGTGAGGAAGAGCGGCAGCAGGTGTTACGGGCGTATCGCGAGGAGGAGCTCCGTTGGAAGCCCTGGCTCATCTCCGAGGAGGAGCTCTTGCCTGCCGTCCCGCCTCAGACTGGCCGTCCACCCTCGCCGCCTCGATCGGACTACTTGTCTCCTGCTTCCTATCTGGCACGGATGTGGTCGGAGGACGAGGAGCCGGTTGCCATGGAGAATCAAGTTTTGTCCATGGCTGCTCCAAAGAGGAGCTACGGCCTGTCTTGCCCTCCACTGAGCAACACGAGGATGCTGTGGGGGGCATGGATTTCGACCTCGAGGAGCGGCAGCGCGTCGCATGCGCGCAACTAGAGGAAGAGCTCCGGTGGGAGCTGTGGCTCGCTCCTAACTACGAAGAGATTTTCCGCAGTACACGCCTGGCCCTTGGGGGCCCCCGGAGTTGCCAGGATCTCCCGCCTACCGCCCCGCCAACACTCGCCTCCTCAGCCTCTGCGACGCTGCAGGAGGCCCCACCGTCCACTTCAATGGGGTCCACAGCCAAGAAAAAGCGGCGTTCGCGTCGCCGTCACACCGCCCAACACTCGGAGGTGAGTGAAACTGTTCTGTCATCCCAAGTTACCTCTGAGTGGAAGGCGTGTGAAGTGAATACAGACTTAGCTGGAGATATGGCTAGTAATGAACTATTAACCAAGCCACAGTCTAGAGACAGTTCTTCTTAGTCAATCATGACTAATTCACTCAATCCTGCAGGGACCACAGAATCTACACATAGACTGAAAAAGACTTCCACTGCTTTTCATGTTAATAGTGGGAGGGAGGTGTTTCCTTTTGTGTCTCTTTCCGTGTCTGCAGTTCAAACAAAGTCTGAGCTGCCTATCGCAAATGTCTTCCCTCCTGAGTCGGCCCTGCTCCTCCACCAGTCACTTAATGAAGGTAATGAAAGCATAACTCAGTCACTGGTGAAGGTCATGTCTGGACACCATGTTCTAAATAAAGGTTCAGCTGTACCTGAACTGACCGGCTCCCAAGCCACACCCTAGTCTAATAAATCTCTTACATTTCCCAAAATATAAATGTTTTTAACCATCTTCTTTCTAATATACTCAATATGTGATTTCCACGTCAAATTTTCATCTACTATTACACCCAAAAAGCAAAATTCAGTAACTCTTTCAATCAATTCTCCATTAATGGACATAATGACTTCTTCCTC